GTGCATGCCTGTAATCCCAGCACTTGGGAGGCTGAGGCAGGATTGCTTCCAGTTTGAGGCCAGCTTGGGCCTCATAGTGAGTTCAGAGGTAGTCAGAACTATATAGTGAGACCCTGTCTGAAGAAAAATTCTATTTAAGTATAATTTTCAGTATGTAATTCAACTATATGAACTTTTTTTAGGACACATGTGACTTCATAGTATCATTCAATCTCATCTCTATAATAAACATAGTTAATTGGTACAAAGATTCACTTTAAATATCAGGAAAATGGTTTTAACTGACATGGAAAAAATCGTTCTTGAAACTGTTTATCATATGTGAATAAAAATAAATTGTTTTGCTATTTTCTATGCCAGAAAATGAGAAACGGATAACAAATAAATTTTGATAAAAACAAAAAAAAAACAAACAAAAAAAAAAGCTCTCATATGAGAAAAACAAAGTATAAATAAATTATTGAGCAAAATAAAAGACAACAGGAAAGGGACATAGGAGAACAAGGAAGAGAGAGCGAAGGATGAAAGAACTGAGATGTGTTATGTACATGCGCCAAGTCCCCACAACAAATTTAATCATTATGCACCGCAAACATGGACTAGTAAAAATAAAATTAAAACAAAAATCTCCTTGGTTTAACTGGGTCCATAATATAGAGTTGCTTTATGTACATCTGTTTGTGAGTTGGTTTTTCCTTCACTATTGATAAATAAATAAATGGATCATTTATGAGATTTTCCTTTGTAGTTCTAACACACTAGCAATTTTGGACCAAGGGTATTCTAAAGTTCCCAAAGTGTCATATCTAGTGTCATATATCTTTTAAAATTTTCTTAAATAATTAATGCAATAAGTTTGGACTCTGATTTACCATTATTGAAACTTAAAGCACACTCAGTTTGACTGTGAGTCAATCTAATCTGGAAATGTGATATGGCAGCTTGATTACTTTGCTGTGTAACTCTTTTCAGGATTAGGTATCAGTAATTATATTCTCAACAACTGTAATATTTATTCTTTCTCAGAAGTCATGGACCATTAAAATGTCTTCTTTAGAGATCATCTTTTCTTTTGGCCTTTCCATGACAGGTGAGTTAAGGCAAACTTTCTTTTTCATTTGTTTGTTTATATTTTAATAATTTTATTGAGAAAGAAGTAGCAATGAGATAGTTTTAAAACAAGTTAATAGTACAGTTAAAATAATTAATACATTGCATATTATTGTCTTTGTGGTAGTTGTTCCTAGTACAAGACACAGACATGATATCTTGCCAAAATACTATCAGTTCAAAACCTGCTCATTGAACTAAGAGAAAGTAGCCATATATTTATGCTGTTTTGTATATGCAGATACATATCTTTTTTTCCACTACAAAATGGTCCATTTATATCCCCTTTTTGTTTACTTTTGTGAGAGATGTGTATTCCTTGCCATTCATATATTGTAGGTGCATGAATTCAGCAGAGTAATCCAATTTAGTCCAGTAGTCTACAATAGTAGTGGGTTATCTGAAAGACTGACAGTGTCAGAAGTTGTTGACTTGAGCCTTTTACACCTCTGCATATTAATATGACTTTACTTTTTATACCTCAATTTTATACTTTTCTGTTGGATGGTTAAGACCAAGATAAAGCAAGACCTATATATCAAAAACTGTAACTTTTGTATCTGCCAAGGTCAGTCAAGTCCCCTCAGGACTTACCCTGAAACCCTGTACAGCAGTTTGTAAATCTTTTGTCAGTGTCAGCCATGTGGATGCGTCACAGCTATTGCTTGACCAAGTTTCTCTCTGAGAAAGCCTGAGAGAATTTTTTTTCTCCATGTGACTCTCCTTGGGCACATTCTACATCGTCAATCACTTTTCTCTGTAGACCCATAATCTCCTTGATCACAAAATTTGGGACACAACTGATATACAGGATGTTACAGTACAGGTTCTCCTATGTCCTGAGTCCTCACTGATTTTGAAAGGCTAGGGCCAAAATGTTGGCTGTCCTTGTAGCCCTTCTTTTTCTCCAATTTTTGGTCTGCAAACTTAAGTTGTTAACCCTCCAGAAGAGAAGCTTAATGGTATTATTACCCTATAAGACAGGCAGTTGAGCTTCACCTCACTATCTGTCTGAATAGCAAACATCTCAGACATAACATGGAACAGGTATTTTGCATCAAGTATTGATATGTTAAACTTTAAATCCCTACAGAATGTGAAGAAAAAAAAACCTTGAAAAATACAAAAATATTTTAAAAATAGAAATAAACAATTACATATTTTTATATAGAAATTTAAAAATCTAACCATACACAGCATTGTATCAGGACAGTCCTATAACTTTTTTTGTCTCTTGTTTTTATTACCCCCCTTTTTTAAACAAACATTTCCTTGAAAGACGGTATGGCAGTAATTGATATGACATGACAAGCAGTACATATTCAGAAGACCAGAATGACACGCATTCCAAGCATGACCCTAGTAATACATATTGCATGACCTTAGTAATACATATTGTGAGCTTCAGTGCAGTTGCTTAGTTCCATGGGTATCAGCATATGTAGTTAGTCAGGGTGAAAATCCCTATCAATTAACTGCTAGTTTCAAAACCTGCTGAAGGTTCTCAGGATCATTGCCTTGACCATCTTGTGCACATAAATATATGGCTTTGCCCTTTCATGTTTCCTAGCTTTTCTCCTTGCCCTCTCTTCATTGTTTAATCCTTAAGTTCTCACTTTCCTTTTAATTGTGTTATACCTTTCTATTTGTATTTCTTCTTTTGAGTTCTTACACTAAGGAGACTATATGATATTTACACATGTGGGTCTGGTTTATTTCGCTTATGAGTATGTGTTCAAGTGGCATCCACTTCTATATAAAGGTTTTGAACTGATTATTCTTTATACCTGAGTAATACTCCATTGTATAAATATACCACATCTTTTTCATCCATTCCTCACGTGATAGGCATGTTGGTTGTTTCCAAGATTTGGCTATCACAAATGGTGCTGCTATAAACATAGGTGCACATATATCACTATGATATGACATTTTCAGCTCCTCTGGGAAAATTCCAGGTAGGGGGATAGCTGGTTTGAATGGGATTTCCAGTCCTAGTTTTTTAAGGAGTCTCCACACAGATTACTATAATGGTTGCACCCCTCTACATTCCCACCAGCAGTGGAGAAGGGGTCCTTTTTGGAAGGAACCCTCTCCAACATTTGTTGTTGGGTGATTTCTTTATGATAGCCATTCTTTCTGGGGTGAGATGGTATCTCAATGTTGTTTTAATTTGCATTTCACAAATGGCTAGTGATGCGGAGCATTTTTTCATATATTTATCGCTTTTTTAATCTAGTCCTCTGAGAAGTGTGTGTTCATCTTGGATGCCCATTTCTGGATTGGGTCTTTAAATTTTGGGGCCGTAATGTGTTTTAGTTCTTCATAAATTCTAGAGATCAGACCTATGTCTGAGTGCTTATTAGTTAAAATTTTTTTCCAATTTGTGGGTTGTCTTTTCACTTTGCTAGTAATTTCTTTTGATATGCAAAAACTTCTCAACAAGAGGAGGTCCTAGTTGTAGCTACAATGCTGTATATGGTTAGATTTTTAAATTTCTGTATAAAAATATGTAATTGTTTCTATTTTTAAAATATTTTTCTATTTTTCAAGTTTTTTTTCTTTTTTCTCTTCACATTCTGTAGGGATTTAAAGTTTAGCATATCAATACTTGATGTGAAATACCTGTTCCATGTTATGTCTGAGATGTTTGCTATTCAGACAGATAGTGAGGTGAAGCTCAACTGCCTATCTTATAGGGTAATAATACCATTAAGCTTCTCTTCTGGAGGGTTGACAACTTAAGTTTGCAGACCAAAAATTGGAGAAAAAGAAGGGCTACAAGGACAGTCAACATTTTGGCCCTAGCCTTTCAAAGTCAGTGAGGACTCAAGTATTACCAGTGCGAATTGATTTTTGTTCATGAACTCTGCCTACACCATGTCTTCAAGAGTTCCTCCTACTTTCTCTTCCAGGAGATTTAGTGTTTCTGCTTTAATGTTTAGATCTTTAATCCATTTTGACTTTAGCTTAGTGCATGGTGATAGGCCTGGATCAAGTTTTAGTTTTCAGCATGTAGAGAGTCAGTTTTTGTAGCGCCATTTGTTAAAGAGGCTATCTTTCTTCCATTGAGTATGTTCGTCCCCTTTGTCAAAGATAAGGTAGCTTAGTGTGTTTGTAGGGGCTTCTGCATTTTCTAACCCATTCGATTGATCCTCAGATCTATTTTGTTGCCAATACCATGCTAATTGTATCACAGTAGCTTTGTAGTATAATTTCTGGTCTGGAATTGCAATACGTCATGCCTTGTCTTTGTTGGCCAGGATTGCCTTTGCTATTCTAGGTCTTTTCTGGTTCCAAATAAATTTTAAGAATGACTCCTCTAGGCCTGTGAAGTATGTTGGTGGTAGTTTAATAGAGATTGCATTAAATCTGTACAATAATTTTGGGAATATGACCATCTTCACAATGTTGGTTCTTCCTATCCAGGAGCAGGGACTATCTTTCCATTTTCTGAAATCCTATATGATCTCTTTTTTCAGACTACTGTAATTTTTGTTGAAAAGATCTTTGACTTCT